TTGGATTTACTTGAAATTGGCATCTGAGACTTGGAACCGGGCTCAAACCCCGCCGAGGGTTCTGATGAAAGACGATGTGGCGACATCGAACCTGCTGTTCAGTTCAACCTGAATGAGATACAATGGTATCTTGATTGTGGGAGCTATGCAACTATTCAACTTTACATCATCTAAAGCAATCTGAGGCGAATATGTATTTATTCAAGAATTACTGATGACCTCCAAATTAATTGCTGCTAGTGCCAATCTTCCCTGAGGAAAAGGTTCGATGATAGATTTGCCCATAAGACGGCGATTGCTCAAGGGCTGACTGACTATGCAACATGAAGCATGTGACTGGAATCTGATGTAAGCTCATTAAAGTGTAACAAGTGAATAGCATTTCTTGCTCTCCTCTTTACCTTCTCGTATTTGCCGCTTTCATCTATCCTTTAATGGCTCGGGCGATTGTATAAATTGAGCATATCCCCCATTTCGCTTTGATATATGACATTATCTCTGGAAGTCGCCCCTCTATTGCCAGTTTATGACCTCCCTTTAGTCAGCCATAATCGAAAAAGCGTATGCACTAATTCTAACCGAAACTAACACGGCAGTATTATAATACATTAATATTTATGTAAAACCGTTAATCTAAGCAAAAAACCTTGCTGAGAAATGAAGCCTCATAAACGATCAACTTCTATTTTCTAACACTAGTCTACAGACATATTCACATGAGCTTTTGTGGCATCCTGTCGTCAAGAGAAGAAAATCCTGAACCGGCCAGTGAGGGGTAGAAATGCCGTCTGTATATAAAGCAAATCTTGTCTTTATATCATCTTAGGCCAACCGACTGTCAGGGCCTCAATTCTCGATCTCCTAACAGTTTCAGCATTGCGAGAATACAATAAAAAATTTATCTGTTTTCCTTAATTCATTTTGGCCCGTAATGTGGTACAACCTGTGGAGGTTAAAGCGTGGCAGACTGTCGCTTTCGCATGCTGGGCTTCGCTCTGTGCCATTCCGCAATACAGGTCATTTTGTTCAACTACTTTGCTATACTACTTGCTTAATATATCAGCGTTACAGACACAACGAATACTAGCAACGGTGTCTTTCGAAGACTACCTTGCTGAAGTATGTTCACTCAATTTGCATTAAGAAAGAGAAGTTGGTCTAAAGAAATTCCCGAATTGGTCTGACCAGCATCCGAAGTAGAGAGGATTGTTGAATTGTATTACGAAGACGACGGCTCACTTTCGTATTCCATGCTTTCATCTACACTGTCACGTGAATTCATCCCATTTTGTTTAATGATATTAAAGACAGATAGTTGAATTTTAGGGTGAATACATTTCATATATACCATATACTAGTGGTCTGGAGGATTTATTTATGGAATAAATATAAGTAATTTATTCGAGTGTAGATATGAAGACAAGATGATGTGACCTTCTGTTTGGTCGCAGTCTCCTTTGGCCATAAAGGGTTGCTATGACCTTGTTTTCGCAACTTGGTAGGAGCATCAGTGAGAACTTGTGGGTCGTACCCAATCCGGTGTCGTCTGCCGTAGTGTTCGTGAGCTCCAGCGTTGCACCATTGGCTGGGTACATTCCAAAACGTTTCGCCGGCATCCTCAGTCCGGCATCGCTCCTCGACCCTACTTTTTGTTGTACCTTCTAGCGCTGCATCTTTTTTCGCAACCACACTTCATATGGCCCATACCCTAATTCATACAATTTTCTGCTCTCATTTCCTCCAATCTTTTCTGACGGTGTGTCGCTACAAGGGAGTTTGGTGAAGCGGAATCATCTCCACCACCGGTACCAGATGCTGTTTGCAGGACATTCTGCCTCCACTTTTTTTCTAACCGCTTGTCAAATGGTCGCTGCTAAACATAAAAATCACTGTCTCTTTGACGAGTTGTTGTGTGGTGCCGGAGAAACGTCTGGGAATGTACCACGTCCACAGTCATAATCTGGAAATGATGATGCATACACTGGACTCCGGATTGGGTGCGTTCCTCTAAGTCTTTCTACCAACGTGACCAAGTTGCGAAAACAAGTTCAAACAACTTCTGTACAACGAAAGGAGACTGCGATCACACAAAAGACCACACAAAAGATCACACCATCTTGGTCTTCATAGCTTCGATACAAATCACAGTTTGCTTGTCTGAAATCCGGATGCCTTAGAGCTTTCCATTCCACTGCTCGATGGCGCCCTATTCAAGGATTTAGAGCAGATGATGTCCTTGCCCATTCGCCTGTCAGTGCCTGGGAATCTTCCTCTCCATAGACTCCAAATCCGTGACTCATTATCCTCTCCCTCATCTCCACCCACATTGTGGCTCATTCTTTGGGACCCAATGTCCGGCTTAAATCACACCCGCTTGTGTGAGAATGCACCAATTCCCTTTTTCTTGTCTGAATCGCGAAAAACACACTCCTCTCGTCTTTCAAGTTGACAATTCCATCTAATCCTATAGTACTGGGATGATGTCCTTGTGTATGTGTGTGTGTGTGTGCGTGCTTGCTGATATCCCTTGTGGTCAAGCTTGTCATCAGCCAATTCCCCTTCCGACAAGATACGAAAAATACACACGAGACTGACGACCTCTGTCTAGCCCAATGATACTTTTATCCTTTTCTTTCATATGCTACCTTTGACAGTTAAAGCCACTGGTCAAATTTTTGACCAATTTCAAATCTGACTCCTCTTACTTTCTTGGCTTCCCTTTGCTCCTCATGAACCGCGCCTTGGTGGTGACTCTTCTTGTTGTGGAACAGTTGTCATGGGCCCAAGCATCTCTTGATGATGTATGTGTTGAATATATTCGTTGATATCTTCGTTGTTCCACAACTGAAAGAGACATCACCAAGGCGTGGTTCATGAAGAACAAAGGAAAGTCAAGAAAAGACGACTGCAGTGAGCGGAGTCGGACATGGAATTGGCCAAAATAATTTTCCCAGGCCTCCACTTGTCAGATGTAGCTTATGAAAGTAAAGGATAAAGGTATCATTGGGCCAGGAAGAGGTGACCAGGGCGTGTGTGTAAGTGTCGTGTGTAATTGGAATGTCTGCGTCGAAAGGGGATACCAACCAACACACACACACACACACACAGGGACATCATCGCAGTACCATAGGACTAGATGGGAATGCCAACTTGAGAGACGAGAGGAGTGTGTTTTTCGCTATTTAAAATGGGAAAACGGGAGTGGTACATTATCACACAAGCGGTTATGACTTAAGCCGGGCACAGAGCTCCAAGGAATGCGCCACAATGAGGGTGGGGATGAGGGAGAGGATAATTGAGTCATGGGCATGAGGCCTGGGAGAAGAAGGTTCTCAGGCGCTGGCATGTGCGTGGGCATCATCTGCTCTAAATCCTCGAATATGGCGTGATCGAGGACGGGAATGAAAGGCTCTTAGGCAGCCAGACAGTGATTTTGGTATGAGATGTATTCACACTATTTCGTTTAAGGTGATTTTGATGTTTCGCAACGGCCGTTTGGCAAGTGGGTATGAAAAAAGGTCCAGTATTCGGTGGCATTGCATGGCCTATTTGGTGGAATGGCGACAAAGCATTTGTCTTGAGGTCTTCATTATACCGTCGAATATATTGGCTCACCTGATTCGCATCCAAACCCCAAAATTCGAGCTCCTCTTCAAAGAGAGGGCCGCAAACATCAGTCGGATAGTGCAGCTTTCCGGATCTGTAATAGTTGAGAATCTGTGCAAACACGCCAGGGTGTCTGTCGAAGAAGTACTCATTGAGAACGGGATCGTAGTTTGCCAACGCCTCGGTCAGCCGCGAAAGACGTGTTGCTGGGATCTTCTTTAGCGTAGCCTTCGAAATCGAAGAGGAGAGAGAGGAAAAAACAATTTAATTAAGATAATGTGTAATTGGTATGGAAACCAAAGGGATAATGACTCTGTAAAATGTCTGCCAAGACCAGGCATTCAATGGTTTGACGAAGTGGGCACCAAACTGATTATCAAAGCTATTTGGAGTTGGCAATATCCTCTTGATTGGATGCCTTGCAGGTCGACTAAATTGCAAAATTGGGCTTTCTTAGTTTGAGTAGTCGGTTGTCCTTGTTGGTGAGGCTGACTTTGAGTCAATTTTTTGCTGTGCAAACGTCTACTCTATCTTATTACTGGCATCTTGAGAGCCGGGTATCACTCATACATCCAACGAGGTCAGAAAAGTCACCAAATTATCTCTAAATGCAGTATACATGTGCCCCAAGAGCAAAACATTTTGCTGGGGTATGATCACATTTGGTTAGTTTAAGTCATTGTCAATCTGGAGCATGTACTTGTGTCTGGTAGTGCATGTCTGTGTGCATTCATATAAAAAATTATATATATATATATATATGCAAATGTATATATATATATATATATATACAATTTTTTTCATATGAATGCACACAGACATGCACTACCAGACACAAGTACATATATAAAAATATATAATAAATATACACACTTGGATAAATTCTAAAGTGACTAGGCTAGTTCCCGTTATGTTTTGACCTAAAAGCTCATGTGTTTCTGCATTTGTGTACTTATGCCTATTTACTTATTTGTATGTATTCTTACGCTGCTTCTGGTGCTAGGTCAAGCATATAATAACAGACTACAACCTCTGTCCTCGGTCAAGGTTTCATGATCAGCATCCCCTTTTTTTATATTTTAGCCATCACTCAGCTTTCAAAATGTCGGACACATGTTTGGCTACGATGAAGAGCTTTCTGTCTCTGTGTGTAAGAGATAAAGCCAGTCAATATGTGTGGGAATGTAATACAGATTAGAAGCAGTATCAAACGAAGTCTAATTAAATCTCCTCCTTTTGTCAGGCGGCTCAACATTTTCTCTATTCTTAAATCTTTAGCTCGTATCCATTCGCATAGATTAAGTGAACCGGTGGAATCTTCTTTTTGAGATGAGACTATTGCATTGGCGAGCAATTGGCTTTCAGACCCCATGTCAAGGTCTTAAAAACACAATGGACCTACAAAGATTTGCCTCTACATGCAGTTTATCACGTGACATACTTGTAATTAAGTATGGATACAGATCAGTCGGTCTAGGGCAGACTTCGATTACGAGCTCCGTGAGGTAATGCTCAGATTAGGTCCAGATTAGTTACAACCTGTAGTACTGTATGTAGTTAACAAGATTTTCGGAGAAAAAGAAGACACGGTGGGAATAGATGAGATGTATTCAACCTATTTAGTCTGAAAAGACTAAGGTCTGATCAATTGACAATCTAGAAGATCTATTTATGAACGAAAAGTAATTAATATAGAGGTTTTTTGACGTTGTTTTCGCAACTTGGTCATATTGGCAGGAAGACTTAGAGGAACGCAACTAGTCCCGAGTTGATTGTATGCATGATCCTTTCCATAGTTGTACCGTGCACGTGGTACATTCCAAAACGTTTCACCGGTGAGTATCGCCATTCTTAGCACGACACAACAACTCGTCGAAGAGACAAATGTTGTTGTGTGATGCTAAGAACGGCGAGACTCACTGATGATGCCGACTACGATGCCGGCGAAACGTCTGAAAATGATGATACATTCTATGGACTCCAGACTAGGTGTGTTCTTCTTAGTCTTCCTACCAACATGACCAAGTTATGAAAACAAGGTCAAACAACTTGTATACAACGAAATGAGACTGCGAACACACAAAAGGCCACACCATTTTGGTCTTCATACCTTTGAGTAATTAATATAGTTGATTGCTATAGCAAATAGAGTTTTGTTTCATCAACAATCCCACCACAGAATGTGACGTGGGAAAATGACTGGCTTTCCTTGAAAATTGCATTTACCCTGTCACCAAGCGACATTCGTGGTAATGTGACGCAGTGGTTGATTGTTGAGACTATAATCTGCAATAGAAAAACTCGGATTTGAGTCCCGCTGGAGGTGCGGATGAGTGTAATGTAGGCGAGGTCGAAATGGTAGTTCACTGCTATTTGGATGAGAATACTTTTTAGGAAGCAAGGATATGTGAAATGTAATGGATAAGCGACGCCTACTCTTATCGACGTGAAACAATTCACTACCAGTCCTTCATCACCTTCAAGGAAATAGAGTGAAAAAATCTCAAATATGTGATCTAACAGTATTGTTTTCGTGACTAACAATAAATCAGTTATATGAGATATATTCACCCAATTTCGTTTAAGGTGATGAATAACTAGTAGAAGAAGAATTTCCCCACAAAGATATGAGTAGAGCTGACGTGTCCATTGAATTTCTCATATTTTTCAAATAAAGTATTGTTTTTCGTGTCTACCAGTAAATCAGTAGTATGAGATTTATTCACCCAAATTCGTTTAAGGTGATGAAGAACTGGTAGAAGAAGAATTATCCCACAATCATATGAGTTGAGGTGGCGAAACTGCAGTCCACTGTTGTCTAAATGAGAACAACTTTTGGGAGAGCAAGGCTATGTGAAATTGAATGAAAACGTCAGCTTAACTTATATCATTGTGGGAAAATTCTTCTTCCACCATTCCTTCATCACCTTAAACGAAATTGAGTGAATACATCTTATATTACTGATCTAAAAGTAGTCACTAAAACCTACTTATAAAGGAAAAACAATGCGAAAATTGTTCTAAAATCAAGTTTTATCTGTAGTTCCATTTGGCAAGCACAATTCAGCTTGACATTCCCATGTATATACAAATAAAAGTAATTTTTCAACTTAAACTCCTGCTCTACAATCTGCTTATTTTTCGAAATAAAGTACGTAGTGAGGCTACT